GGCCAAAAGTCATCTAGAAAAGAAGAGATTCACCTCTGGAACTGTCTTTAATTCAAAAGTAAATTTAATATACAGATGTGATGGGCTGAGGTTAGACTTATAATAAAAAGGCTATGTACTTTTATTTATTGAACTTAGGGATCATAATACAACGGCCACTCAGCTAAGGCAACCATCCATGGGTGATTTTGACCATTTGACTTGGACGTAAGTTATTAACTAAATTCCTTGAGGGCAAAACAAACAAAGAAAAACTTGTGCCATTTGTGAAAGTAATGGCAAGAATATCACATCATATCTCTCATATCCTGTACATGGGTCACATTGATAAAGAATAAAGTGTTATGTGACCTCTTAGGTAATAAAGAATATACCCTAAAGTAAGAAGAGGGCACAGGCATTAAAACCTGACAAAAATATGAAATGTTTCAACTAGCTGCCCATATGAGATATAGAGAGTTAAAAGTGAGTTCAATTATTTTATTTCATAGTGTAAAGCACCTAGAAGAACTGAATTGAAGCAAGGAGCCAGATAAAAATTCTTGAGCAGATATCTAATAATTTTAATAATTTTTCTCACAAATTCAAAAATAATCCCTAGTCAGTTTACATTTTTTATTCCCAACTTAATGCAGAGATGATGCACCAATAGAGCTTTTTCTTATTGAGATTAATCAATTTAGCACCTTCTGGAATAAGAGACTAGGATTTTACAAAGTTTTTGGATATTTACTTGATGGACACAATCCAAAGCAGAACACAATCTGATATGCTATTCTATCAGAACGGATATGAAAATGTATGATATGAAAAAGATATGTGCAAAGTGAAATAAGTGTCACAGAAAAAAAGAATAGTAATCTTGATAAATATATTTCTTTGTAAGATTCTTGAGGGAAAAAGAACCATCAAAAGTAGAGAAGAAGTACTGGTGGGGAAAGGTTGGTGAAAGTAAATACTATTTTTAAGCTGTTTAATTCCAATTAGAAAAATATGGAAAGGTTTTAAAATATCATGTAGTATTTTCATTATAAGTAGCATATTTTAGGAGACTAAGAGAAAGAAAATCACTCTATTCTATCTTATCAAATCTACCTGGAAGAATTTCCAGCAGCAGCCTGTAAGGTAAATGGAGTGTGGAATACCAATTCACAAATTGCAGGCTTGGGAAAGAATTACACTGCTTAGAAAATGAAAGTCGATCAAGACTGGAAACATTTCACCTGTTTTCATTTAAATCTTCAATCTTTTTTTCCTGCTGATTTAGGAAAGAGAATACAGCATAATGGGGCCAATAGGGACTATAAACTCTAAATATCTTGAAATAGTCACAATGGCATGTTCAATGTAATTTTTTGAGACTAAAAGAAAACTAGGGATTTGGAAAATCTCCAAGTTAAAGCACGGTTTATGAAATTTTGAATAATTATTTACAATTGCATTTTTTTGTAAATGGATTATTCACTTTAACAATTAAGACAGAAGATAAAAAAAAGAAACTAATATGAGGCTTAATACTGGAAAATAACTTGAAATCTTATTAGACTGTCCCCTGCCTTCTGTGAAATGTACACTCATCACAGAGAAGTACTGCAACCTTAAGGATCTGAAAAAGGAGATACTTGCCACACTAGTTTTTTCATCGAATTTGTGTCAATAGACCTTTAATGATCATAAAGACTTTTCCAAAGCAATCAGGCTCAAATCCTTTATGTAAATTCCTAACTGCCTAAAAACAGTTCCTGACAGGTCAATTAATTCTGACAAGTCAATACCATTGAAGAATAGTGTCACGCTGCCTTAAGTTCACAAAGTTACTTATTCCAATATTTGGAGTTTTCTAAAAGCAACAATTAGCCATCATCTACTTACTCTTCAAAAACATTGCACACAGAAGTTTGACACAAAATTCAAGTGCTTATAATCTGAGAAATTTTGGAATTCAATTGTGTAATCATTCACCTATTGGATTACTGCCTTGCTGGTATGTAAAATACTAATAGGATAAAATTTCATGAGATTTTTCAAAGAGATTATAATGTCAGTATTTCAACTAGAGCAATAATGACCACTAGTGAACGTGTTTTACATGATGATTCCTGCAGCTTATCTTATTTAATTCTCACACCAATCTTATGAGGTTTGAAATTCCCATTTAAAAACTGCCACTGTCAAAAATATGAGAAAAGGAAAAACATGGAAACAACGTCTTTGTAAATAGGGAAGGGTGGAGAGGGTGAAGGGAGGGCAGGGGAATGGGAAAAAAATAAGAACCAAGATACATCATGAATAGGTACAAGATCCCAATGATGAATGCAGCTGTACTGTATACTTGAAATATATTAATAAACTAAATGGAAAAAAATCCTGCCATTATCATCTCCACTTTACAGATAAGACATATGGTGTCGCCAATAGCTGAACCCATGCTTCCACATTCATATGGTGGACTACAAATTATCTTCTTAGGAATGGTGGGCAGTACTGTACACACTACTAATGGCCATGGATATCAACTGATATCAGGGCTTATCAGAATTAGGTCTGTGATTCTGAATTACAGCATATGGCCTGGGCATCCAGAAAGGCAATAGGATGGAGAATCCTAATACCACTTTTATTTAAATTTTGGAAATATTAAATCTATATTGACATACTTCAGTAGCCAGCTTTATGATTCCTAAGGCAAAGAGACAGAAATTTCCTCCTTTCCTTCAAAAAGCCCATCAGAAGGCTAGGGATGTACATCAAAGTTCTCTAGGCAACCTTGAGAGACCTCTCTCCTCCCCCTGGAAGACAGGTTCTCTCATTTGCAAGGTTTGAGAATTCTCCATATATAGAAAACTAATATGGTAGCATTCATTGAAAGATTGCTACCAGCCTAACACTGCTATAAGGATACATTCACTATTTTTAACCAATTTAAGAACTATGGTATATTATCATATCCTTTTATACCAGGACACAAGTGAGGCTCAGATAATTTAAGGAACTTACTCCCAGTCTACCTGAAATGGTGGGATTTGGCTTTGAACCAGAAGTTATGATTCCCAAGACTGCAAACTTCACCCCATACTCCAATCTCTCTTATTAGTCAACAGAGATAATTAAAAGAAAATCATCAGAATAAATGAGAAAATATTCTTCAAAGTGATGCAAACAATGACTGAAAGAGGAAAAAATATTTTGTAAATTGAGGAAAAACCCAAGATGAACTGTGGTTTCTAAAACTGCACTTTAGACGTCTGTCCCTTTCTCTCTCCCTCTCCCTCTCTCCTTCTCTCTCTCTCTCCCTCTCTCTCTTCTTTTCTGTTTGTACCACTCTTCCCCTTTCTTTGCTTTGTTTTCCATGAATTTACCTTGCTCTCAACATCTAATTAGTATTGATTGTGCCCACGTGTCAAAGTGCCACTGTTGTATAAATAATTGACTCTAGAACATACTTGGGGGATTTAATGCCCCTATTTTCATCATTAAAAACAATTTATTAAGATATCACTCATTGGCTCACTTTACATTTTAGACATATTTAAAGGCAATAAAAATGGATGCAAAAAAAGGTAAATTCAGTAACAGATGAATCTCATGAATATAATATTTAGCAAAAGAAGCCAGATGTATAGATTTACACTATATGACTGAATTTATATAAATTGACCTATGGTGTTAGAATTCAGCACAGTAGTTACAAGCCTGCCTCCTGGAAGGTGTAAAGGAGCTTCTGGGATTCCATTGCCATTGTGATGTTGGATCTGGCTGATGGTTACATGCCGGTTTCATTGTGGGGTAAATCACTGTACTTTGTACCTGTTTTGTGAATGTTTATGTTATGTTTCAATACAGAAGTTTATATTAAAAGGCCATTCTATATCCACAATTCTCGTTTGCTAGTTTTATGTCATCCACAAAGATACAAGTAATTTGTTTGATAAAGTTAATGATATTTTTATACAGGATTACAAAGTTAGGGTTTTTCTATTTGGGAAATGTTTTATGAGATGTTTTAAAAGTCAAGTTAACTGAAGTATAGTTGATAAGCAGTTAAATTCAAACATTACATAATTTATATACAGCAAAATGTAAAGTTCTCTAGTTTTTCACAAGACCTTTCATTTGTTCAACCATCATCATGATGCAGATATAAAATATTTTTTTTAATATTACTATAAATTCCTTCTTCTCTAATTGACCTCATCTCCCAACTTTCAGCCTCTGGTAAAACTAATTGATTTTCTGACCCTATAGCTTTGTCTTTCCCAAAATGCCATGCAAATCAAATCATATAATATGTATCCTTTACAGTCTGACTCCCTGTAATTTGCAAAATGTATATGAGATTCATCCATATTATGTATAGTAGTAGCTGGTTTCTTTCTATTACTCAGTAGTATTACAATGCATGGATATGCCAAAATGGAAGAACATTTAAGTATATTCCAGTTTTTGGTGATTATGATTAAATATTCATATATAGATTTTGTATGAATGTGGAAAATACATTGTTTTTACTTATAATTCCAAGACATACTTTTACTTGCACAAAATATTTTCTATATAATCTCTATTCTATAGCAATTCTTCTACTTAGAGAATATATTATTCACTTCAAAATAATATAAAATTAGAATGAATTCAAATTATATAAGAAATATAAACACAGACCAATTTTTGCAAATCCTTCCCTTAAAAAATTTCATTTTGTAACTATGTAGAGAATTAAGATGGAAAAAATTCTATAATGTTCTAGATTAATGATTCAAAATCATGTTCAAGTTGTACAAATTTAAATAAATAAGTGGCAGTATATTAATTAGAACTCTGACATACTGAATGAGGAAAAAGAGCTAAAATTTGGTGGCTTGAAAAGCCCAATGCTTCCGTCTTTGTCATAACTCTCTTATTTAATGTATTGGAATTTTAATTCAGCTGGTTAGTATTTTTTCGTCCATGACAGCTGGGAAAAGATTTGAGTGATAAAATGGAAACATGGTAGATGTTACCTAGCATGTTGTGGTAAAGTGGAATGGCCCGTCCATGGGTAGTAAATGCAGTCATGAATAGTGGGACCGTTACACCTGCAGGCAATTATAGAACAGAAAACATCATTCTACATCCACAGTGCCATGCACACACATGCACCGGTGCCCACACGGAACCTCGGAAGAAGGACATGGAAAGCAAGCACACCAAGTACCTATCCATCAGGCCGATGCAGTCTTCAATAGTCGAGCCTATGCACCTGCAGAAGATGCAGATTTTAAAAAAAAATACATGGAGAGAAAAATTAGTCTGATTTAAAAAGAATCATTACGATAAATAATGCCTTGTTAAATTCTTAATTCCCATTACTAGAGATTTTGGACACCATGAATTTAAAACCAGAGAAAAGATTATTGCCTGACGAATACACAGAAATTTTATAGCAATTACCACCCAAGTGGAATGCCAAGAAACATGTCCACAATAAAGGGAATTTTGCACTGCTTCTGTGGCTAACATTCAAACAAACAGAGGTCATTTCTTTGAATTACTATTCATTTGCATCATTCATGATTATATGTCTTGATGAATAACTTGATAGTTCAATGACTGTAATTGTTTTCACATACATAACTTACTTCAAAAGCTTTTAAGTAAAGAACAAAATCAATTAAAAAGAAAACATGAAGAATTCTATATAATATAATAACCTGATGGTTAATGCTTCTTAGAGGTTGCTTTCGGCAGAAAATGAGTTAAAGTGCTTTAATGTTATTACCATGAATACTTTACATAAGCAGGTCATTTTAATCCTTCAATATGACTGTCTTTAAAACATATTTTTCTTTAAACATGAACTTATTTACACAGCAAATTACTGATTTTATCATACTGCAGGTTATTTTCATTGTCTCTTAAAATAGCAATGTCATAACATGAAAGCAAAAACAAATTTTTAAACTGCCATTACATTTAATTCAAACAATAATAGATTTTAAAAACCCTGTAAGTAAATGAATAAACAGAAATTCAAGTAACTAAAGAATCTACTGAGATGAACATTTAAGTAAATTTATGTAAGTATACATAATTCTAATATACAATCTCTAGAATTTCATTTTGAGATGTTATGGAAATATTATTTCTTCCATCTTCTAATCTTCTGGAATCCTTTTTCCCCTTTTCCACAAAAGATAAATAGCTCTAGGAAATTACAGAGATTTGTCCTACATAGCTTATTCAGCTATGGTATATGGAATTGTCTAATTTGACTGGTGATTCCAGAGACTATCTTTCCAAACTCTTAGTTTTTAAATTGAAAAAGAAGTTAAATTTAATCCTAATGTAATGATGTAATGAAGGGCCTATATATGGCTAGAGCACACATGATATTTTTAGGTGACTCCAGACACTACTGAACTAATATAGCTTTTCTAAAATAACAATTAAGTTGCTATACCTCTGCTTCAATAATACTGATTATAACATTCCTACTAGTTAGAGAATTGATTTGCTTGTGTTTTTGTTTTGAGGATTTATTTTGAATAGCAAATTTTAACTTGTAGAACTATGGAAAATATACCTGTGACAAAAGTCTTTAAAAATAAACGAAAGGGAAATAATTCCAGTACATACTACTGAATTAGTATCATACATAATTTATAATCAAAAGCATTAGTAAAAATGAAAAATCAACTACTAAAACATCTTCTAAATTGTCTTATCTGACTTTCTCTTATTCTATTCTGAAGAATATATGTTTTTCTATTACTTCTTCACAATGTTTTTGGAAGAAGATCTTGCTATGTTATAAAATTAATAGTGTACTGTGTATTTCCGAGTGAGAATCTGAAAAGCTACGGTTAGCTTGCAATCTTTACAATAACTCTTGAAAGATAAAAAATATTCAATTGTGAAATTTAACTTGAAGGAAAGTGTGAATAATAAAAGTCCTTCACCCATTCAAAGAAAGAAAACTCATGTTACAGGCCTACTAAAAATGATCCTACTCTTTAAGGAGAAGCAGAGAAAAAAAGACGCATTAGATATTTTTCCTATTTTCATTACGCTCATAATTTATTGAAGGCGATGGATGCATAATTAGGTGTGCACTTATAATGTGGTGAGTGTAGTAAGGCCCAAGACAAAGGGCTTTTAGGAAATAAAGAAACTTGTGCGGCCCCAGAAAGTCATGTTCATCTTTCTGGAGGTGTCAGAAAGCTGGTGGTCAGACTGGTGGAAGCTGGAGTTGGTATGGCAGTGATTTTAGGGGGCAATGAACAGCAGAAGAAAAATCAGAGATCTAAAGAAATACATAGTGTGTATGAACAATTACAAGCAATTCTGGATACTTGTAGTGCAAATTTTGAGTCAACGGAACAAAAATAAGATTGAACATTAGATAGGAGGCAGATTTGGAGGATTATTTGCTTATTAATAAGCTTAATGGAAAAACCACTGTATGGTTTTTAAAAAGTCATGAAATTGTTAAATCTGTATAGTAAATAAATCTCTGCCATGTGGAGGTTAGTCAGCTGGAGGCCAGGTTGATGCTTTTGGCATGAAGAATATTTTAGTTCATATAAAAGGGAGTGGACTGAACTAGTGAAATGGTAACTAGGATACCAGCAAAGGGGTAGATTCAAGAAATGTTTTTAGGAGGAGAAAATAGGAGGTTGATAGCCCATTTAATTATGGAAATAAAAAAGACTTAAGGGATGACATATTTCTAATTGTAAAATAGTACCATCAGTAAGAGAATCCAAGAGGAGAATCACAAATCTTTGTGCGTGTGATGGAGGAGGACTGTTTGATGTTTTGAGTTTTTGTATCTAGAATTTAGTCCTGGTTATTCAACATTAGATAGAAATGTTCCTTGACAGGGGGAAAAATGATTCTGGGGCTACAAGGGGGAAGAACGTATAAATATTATGATCCAATTTGAAATAGTTTATTGGATAAAGTTGAAACAACGTATGTGAATAGATAGCTGAAGGAGAATACATAAAATGAGTAAAGTAGAAATTAATTATTTAATTTCAAGGGTCTTCAATAGCGTATGATATCAGATTCAGTTTTGTGACCAAAAACTGGGAAAAATAATTAACAATAACTGAATGCAGTCTCTTTAAACCAAATCCAAGATGAACTCCAAGAAAGAACAGTTAGTGTAAAGTACAGAGGAGTCTAATAAATCAAGAAGTACTAGAATTTTATTTGTCATTTTCAAGGTCTCTAGAATTCAGGTTGCTTTAAATTGAAAAACAAATTTGAGATTAGGCAATAGTTGAAGGAGGAAATGGGGAGGAGGGACTGAAAGGGAAGGATGTGGTCTCAAAACAGATTGATGAGGAGATGGTGTAGGATATTTGTGATTTAAACATATTTGTAAATGGAAGATGAAAGAAACAAACTAAAGATCAAGGAAAATGAGGGTAGAAGTGAGATAACCTTTCAAAGCAAAAGTCACTATGTATTTAAAGATGCATATTGTATTTCAACTTTTTGTACTTTACATAAGGCACTAATTATCACTGGGTAATTTATATTGATTCAGCAAGGCCATGAAATAAGAGAAACATTAAACTTTTGAAGAGCCAAAATGGCAAATAAGGGAAGGAAATGGGATAGGAAATTTTAAAAAAAACCTCAAAAATAAATCAGTGTTCTAAAATAGAACATTTACAGAAATGTCAGAAAAGTAACCTATGTCCTGTCTGACACATTCCATAACAATACTGGAATTCTGAACACTGAGCCATGTTTTCTTGTACTTTATAGACTATGTACCCTAACAAACACAGTTTACTTATGTGGGGGAAAATTCCTCCAAATTTTTAAATAAACAAAAAAGAAATTTTAAAAATTTTCAATTTAAAGACTATAGACTTAATTCAACAAGCAACTTTATTTCCCTTTATAAATCAATGGATATATTTTGATTATATAAATTTTTAAAATTAAAAAAATTATTCATAAGAGATTAAAGTATATGTGAAATTATGGTTAAAATGGTAACAAAAATTAGTAAATTTTTTAAATGCCCTAAAAAATAAACATTACAGTGTGTATGTTTAACATGCAGATTGGCTTGAAATAAAATCAAAATGAAATTAACATTAAAGTAACATGGACAAAAAGAGATGTTACTGAAGAAATTATAGTTTCTGCATTCACTTCCACCTAATTACATAACAAATTTAGTTTATGAGACCTCTCTTAAAATTCAAATATTGCTAAATACAAATATGGACATCATTCCAAAATTTTAAATTCTTGCTCATTGCTTCAAAATACAGTACAGAAGGATTTGGTCTCTAATAAGATATAAATTAAAAAACAAAAATTAACGATTATGAGTTCCTAGTGATTAAGAGTTGGGTCTTGTTCATTTCTAAACTTGACCTTCACTCTGATGCAGAACAGGTATCCAATGTAACAAAGTTGAAGAATGAATGCAATAAAAATATGCTGTAAAAAGTGTTCTCTAGTCATGGCAAGAAGAGAAAATATTACCTTTTTTTTCTGCTCTAGGAATACTGGTAAGAACCTACTGATAGAGGCTAAGTGAATAACCTTTTTTTTTTTTTTTTTGTAAAGAGGATCGAACTCGGGACCTTGCGCTTGCGCAACAGGTGCTGGAACCACTGAGCTGAATCCCCGGCCCTAAATAACCTATTTTTAAAAAGTATCTGAAGAACTTATTAAAACCAATACAGAGTTAATGCACTTTTAGAAAGGAAAAGTGCTTTTAAGGTATTACATAGATAATTTTATTTTCAGAAAAATCATTACACAGTATTCAAAGTAAGAACTCTACTCCTAAAAAGTGTAATTGGAAATACTATTTCCATTAACTTGGTTCTTTGATTATCTGACATAATATTGGCATATAAAAGAAAAGCTGCTTTCCCAAGTGCAGCTGTCCTGGTGCACTCACACGTAGTGATACTCAGTTATTACAAGTGTCTAGGAACAAAAATAGTCACTCACCACATCATCCCTACGGCTCCTGTGACCTTTCCATGGAAAGATCATACTTCTGCATGCTCATGTTCAACTTGAACAACAGGGACAGAAGACCTTACCACTTCAGCACAAGACCTCAAAGCATGGTTGGCTGCACAGCAATGGAGTATAATGGGGAATAGGAAATGTAGGATTTCCACTGTTGGGGAGTTCATAAATTCTAATATGGGGCTGGAATCAAAGCACTTTTATGAAGTGAATGAACCTGAAAAATAAGGAGGCAGGATAGCAGGAAGGATAGCAGGAAGCTAAATGAAACTATCAAAATCTACCAGGACTAAGTCAGCCATTAGAGAATACATTTACCTTGGATATTGCTGGGGAGTTTAATATTCAAATTTGGGGAATACAATATTTGAATTTGGGGAATAAGATATTCGAATTCTCTCTCACCATGATTCTGCAGTCATGAGTTGCTAACAGCATCTTCTTGCTATTTATTTGGAGTTCTCATTGATCTGGAGAGAATTGTTCCCTTTTACACCTTCATCCTCCCTTTCGCCTGAGGACCAAATGTTGTTACTATGGTAATTTGATCCTTTTCCATTCCTCCCTACTTCTCTTTCCTTCACTGTATATGCTTTTTTTTAATTATATAATCATGATTTAAAAGGGCAGAGAGGAAGACATGCCAGCCACATATCCAGAGGATGGCTGTGTGATCTCACTTTCATTTCCCTAATGGCTTCATTGTAATTAGATTTGCAAAAACAGCAAAAGGTCTCATTTTGAATGGCAACAGCTGTTGACATCAACATTATATTGAATAATTTAGTGGTTTAATTTTAGCTGCAAAACAATAAAACCCTCTCGTGGATGATTTTAGCAGGCAAACTTTTCTCTTTCTGTTGCTGACTCCTTCTGTTTCAACAGTACCAGTTGTTTTTTTCATGAAATATTTTTCAACTCAAGTGTGCCAAAAACCCACAAGGGGGGCAGTTTATTACTTCTAGCTTCTGTGAAGCAAAGTGTCTATGTGACTATTTCATCCTCCTCCAGCTATGTGTTTATGTACAAACCAAAGAGTTGGCAGTCAGGTCTTGGAAGGTGAATTTAAATTTGAATAGCAGTATATTACTTTACCTTCTGAGAGTCTGCTACTTCACAGAGTGGCTTAAACTGATTTCTTGACCTGTAGGAAATTGTAGCGGCTTCTGCAAATTGATATTTTCTTGGCAGAAAATGATCTCGCTTGCTTAACTTCTTCAATAACCTCTAACAGGTATCCCTTAATCTGGCAGAAAATCTCTTTATGGACCCTCATACCTCTTGCCAGATACAAAGTACTCAAATGATTTTTCAACAAGTGTGCATAGGAACATATGTGTGTGTATGTGTGTGTGTGTGTGTGCGCCTGCGCACATGCATGTGGGAACTCAAAATGCAGAAACAGCTTTGTGGACAGAAGAATAGTTTATGTGAAACCTTCTGGAAAAAAGGAAAGAATAATCCAGACTAAGATAAATTTGATTTCTTTAAAGAAATAGTTCTTGGAATTTGAGAAATAAGTAATATTATTTCTTGTAACTTCAGTGCTTTTGTTCTTTTTGTCTTCATTATTTAACTCTTATCAATATAGTAGGTAATCTAATTAGTATACATTGCATAACACATCCTTTTGAAAGATAGAAAAATGTGTGCCAATCTTTGAATGATCCCACTACAGTTAAAAAAATTGTGTTTGAGAAAAACATGCAAAAATTAATTTTACAAAATGTATTATTTTATGAATGTACATATCACTAAGTTATTCCTTTTCCCTGTCATCATGATATTCACTCATATTTTGTTCAAATAATCTAACAATGTATATCCAAGAGAGATATCCTTACTTTTTGACTGTGACAAGAAAAAAAAAAGAAAACCTGTTAAACATTTAATACCACAAACCTCAAAAATTTGATTACTTTCTTGTCTGAATCTATTGTAAAATTTAGAAGAGTTTCTATACTGAATCCAGAGTACACTTGACATTAGCTTTATGAAGGTGTCAATAGAATGGTTATTGGTAAATGGAAATAGAAATGTTTTAGGAAGTAAAATGTTGATCCTCTTAAATTTCTCTTTAAGTATGAAATACAAAAATGAATAGAGTTTTGTAAGACTATTCTGAATGTAGGGGACTATCTCAGAGATGAAGACACACACACACATGCACCCGTTGACTGGCAACACACCGAAGGCTGAGCTCTTGACCCGCAAGGACACTTACCCTTGGGTGCAGTTTGGGTGGCAGGGATGGCACTCCCGATCCTGATCCGCATACTTGAAAATGAAGCTGTTTGCCCCCTGTAAGCCGTCTGGACACTTTTCCACACAGTTTGGGCCATCTTTAAAATGAGAGCACTTTGTGCAGTTGTCAGGTCCCTGAAATGTGAAAAAGAAAATTGAGAAAAAACTGTTTCCCTCTGAAAGAATTCATGTGTTCAGTTACTGAGACTTCAGTGAGTGGTAAAGAAATTGTCCTCTAGGGAGAACACTTTCAGAAATAAAAATGTAGAGAAAACTATTGTAGTAAAATTAGCACTAAGAGCCCTGACATTCAGTTTTGAAACCCTGGGTGCATGCGAAGTAAGGTTCTTGCAATATTTTCCTTTTGGAAATTAGCAGTTCCCAGATCAATTGATTTCCATATTGTGCCTCTAGCATGACTGAATTTGATTAGCAGAATTGTTCAATGACTTTATCAAAAGGAGGTCAGTATTGTCTTGTTATTCATTCCTGGTGATATGATAATAGAACAATATTTGGTATTAACACATTATTCCATGGGAGGTGCTTCATCACCATCATTGGGAATAGGGAATACTCTTACTAAGTAGTTAATGAAAAAGAGATACAACAGAAATTAGACAACATTATATTTTATGTGAGTGGGGTGTAAATTTTACTTTGGTTATACCGTGGCTTTTGTTGAAAAATAGATCATAAAATTTACCAGGATGAATTATTAAGAATTAGGCAGTTTGGGTATATAAAAGTAATTTCTAAGTAATTCTTCAAAAATATGCCAAAATTCATATCATATCTATTAATATGAATTTAAGTAAGCCATAGAACATTGCTGAGGGACCTATAAATGCATGTTCTAATAAGAAAATGTCAAAAATTCTAGAACAATGAGTGTACATGGAGAAACTTATCAAAGGATGAAGATGATATAAATATGAGCATGACAAATTTAAATGTAATTGACTTGCTTTATATATGTACAATATACATTTATGTTTTAATGTAAAGTTAATAAGCAACAATAATATAAAGATTTATTTAAAAGTCCCAACAACATTAATCTTTTAAAACTAATGTGAAATAACTAAGAATTTTGCAAAATAAAAATTGTTTATATCTGGTGCAGTTGCTAGTAAACACCCAAGAAATGATGAGTAACATATCCTCAGATCAAAGAAACTTGACAATATTTTGATCCAGATGTTAGTTTACGTATGAAGGCCTCATATTTTCATATTCACCTACTTTAAATATTACTTTCTATAATTCTTTTTTAACACTACATTGTCTCAGGATTTTAAGACCACAGAAACTCTTTGATCACTCCTCCCTGGCACTTCTCCCATCATCCAGCTATGTCTACAGAGTTCATCAATTTTACCAAATCCCACTGAAGACAACTGAGATAAATAGGGTACAATATGAATAGAGAGAAATAAGTATATTAAGTTTGCTATTTAAAAACATTGAATTTTGGAGCTAAGTGTTAACACAATGTACAGACCAGGAGTTCAGGTCATTTCTTAGGAGTGGTTTCTATTCCTATATAATGTTAACCTAAAATCAGCCAGAAATGACAAGTTGGTGATAGCCAGCACCAGGAAGCAAAATAGACTATTTCAAAATTGAAAAAGGGAAGTTCCTAATTAAGAATAGTGGTGTAAAGAAGAAAAGGAAACAAAGAAGAAACTAAAAAAGCCTGAGACTACTTGAGGTATAATCACCCAGCTGTCTATTTTAATATTCTGATGCAAGGCTTAGAGCTAAAAACTTTAAAAATTAGCCTATGAAATCTAATCCCTACTCTACCTGAAGAGTTCACTAATGGTATTTTTAAAATTTCTCCCCCAAAAGAATACTTCACATGCTTCCAATTCTAACACCTGCTCATGGGTACTTAGGCACATAATACCGTCTATTTTACAAAAAATCATTTACTGTGCAGGTATGCTCAGTGGCATGACTTATTGTACAAGATGAGACAGGCTTTTGCAGAACACAGAAGAAAACTTACTATGAGTAAATTAGCAGTTAGAATCTGAATTAGCAATTATTTTTCTATTAAATTCTTGTGATGTGAAAAATTTCCAGACAAATTTAGAAAATGTAAAAAAGTCTGTGAAACCAAATATATTTAAATTTAAGTATATTTTGTGGTAATAAGTCATTTTTGTTTTTCTTTATTTAAGCCTCTCAATTATTTGATTTTTTAATAATGATACAAAGTCAAATATCCTAACCTTAACCCTAAAAGACATCCAGATATATCTCTAACTAAACAAAATAGATCAATTTCCCATTTCATTACCATAAAAGACACTTAAAAATCTGTGTGTCCAAGCTTTACTCTTTTGTCAGATATTTCCAAAGTGTTTCAGAAGCCAGCTGTAGTAATGCTATGATCAAGGTAATAATAGAAAATGAAGGTGAAACGGGGCCATCCTGGCATATGCCAATAATAAGCCCTCTGGGAAGCCGAGGCAGAGGATCACTAGCTCGAGCCCATCCTTGACAACTTTGTGACTTAGCAAGACTCTGTTTCAAAATAAAAAAAAAAAAAACAAGAAGAACTGGAATGTGGTTCAGTTCAAAGGCCTTGAGTTCAATACCCACCACTGAAAATGAAAGCAAGAAAGCAAGAAAGAAGGAAAGAAAGAGAGGATGCCATGAATTCAGTGCATCCCAAAATGCTGGGACCTCACAGGGAGAAGGAAACTTTCAAACATTTCCAATAAGAAGGGCAAAAACATCTTTTTCTGAGAGCTATTGCAATAAGAGGGTTATTTATTATGGCAGTACAACAGTTATTCACCTATTTTAGCTTGTGTGAAATTATATTTTAAAAATCAGTCCCTGCCCCATCTCTTCTCTTTGATTCCTCCCTTTGCAGCGTTGTTTTGGTCTCTTGTAACTTTGATTTCCCTTACTTTTCCTTCCTCTCACATTTCTTTCTTTACCTTTTTCAATAAAACTGTACAGGAATAAGTAACACAGAATGGATAAAAATGTAAAAATAAAGCAATTTAATTAAATTGAAAGAACCAAGCACAGATAGATAAAGATAAAAATGAAAAGGCCTTCTTTTATTTCAAATCTAGTCCTCTCAAGATTATCCTAGACTTCTGTCATATTTACATAGACTAAAACCATTCCTTTTGACATGTAGCTGTCACATGCCCACAAAACACTTGATTCTTGTCACACTAAAGACACTAACGCCTAGGAGATCAAAGTGAAATTGTAAGTGTGAGAAACTCAGAGTCAGAACTTCTATAGTCTAACCATAACTCCATGTCCTACTGATTTACTGATTTGTTTGGAGTCACTTTCTAATCATCATTCATTCAATTTCTTTATATTTTATATATACATATATATGTTATTATTATTAGAGAAACACTGACAAGTTAAATATGACTTGAAAAAATAAACCATAAGAACAGGAAAGGGATTTCCAATTAGTTTGACTTCTTCCTCTGTTTCCTCACAATGTCATTCTCCTGGAGAAGCTTCCAGAAACTCTTGGGTATTCTAAATGATACATGCCTGTGACTTGGCATACTATACCACTTCTGTCCCAATTGAGATAATCAACATGTAGACCCAGAAAAAAGCAAAAACCTTTTTCTGAAAGCTGAAAGCAAGCAACCCCCTAGTGAGAGCCAAATTTGCGCCATTATTTGAGCTCAGCCTTGGCAGCTTTTCTAAAAGATACTGAGTTCTGACCTGTTTAGCATTTCAAGGCTCACTGATCACCTACTTAGATTTCCTTGATTGTGTGCTATTAGTTTCCACAGATGTCCAATCTAGCTTTACTGAACTTTCCATCCTTTTGACTCACTGTCTTCTCTAAACTCTGGACATATCAATCCATAGTTTTAGTGCTGGTAGTAATCTTATTTATTTGGACCAACCAATGCTGCCATTATAGAACAAAATGTGTCCATTATAAACTTATTCTTCACTCCCTCTTAATTATCCAACACTTTGAAAACTGCCAGAGCATTAACTTTTGGTTTTCTAATATTTATTTTGTATAAACTGTCCTAATCCCTTTGAGGAATACATTAATAAACAAATCAACTGTAAAAATATACACATTAATTCTGTGAAACTGGTTATTGGGTTATTCAATAGTGTAATTTTGTACAAGAAGCAGCATAAGGAGTAGAAATAGCATGTGACAGTCAGCAAGCACTCTAAGACTGGGTGCTGGATTATGGTTTCATAGACAATGAACAATTCATTTTGTAATTCTTAGATTTTTTTCTCAGATTATTCTGGCATGAGAAAAACACCTAAAGACAAGGAAAGAAAATGTAGATGAAGAGAGTCAGTGTTAAGAACTAGCACACAAAAAACAATTTGTATTAACTCATGAATATGATTTATTCTGATCATAATAATTCTGAATTTAGTAGGTAAAGGGATCATTGAACATTTTCATTCATGAAAACTAGAGTAGTTGTATTAAAGAGGTGTTATTGAGGACTTTCCTAGCTAACGTTTAATTATCATACAATGAATGTTCCTCGTGAAATTAGACTAGAAAAAAAAGATGTATTAATGAATATATTTAAATTAGTCATAAGCTGATTATTTTTATATAGATGATTAATGGAGCTAAAAGTATTAGTATCTAGGAATATTTTATTTTCTTGAAAAGTAGCAATTGCAAGGAAGTTCAACATACAATAATGAATTCATTTTCAATATACAAAATGGAATAGAGAAAAGACTAATTTGAAAAAATAAAATATATAACGAATGTCTCTGTAGTGAGTTTTGATAAATGTTATTTTTTTTTATTAAGTCTATTGGTACATTTTAGGTATACAATATGATGACATTCATCATTGGGAATTTGTACCTTTACGTGATATATCTTGGTTCTTATTTTTTCCCTATTGATAAATATTTTTGAACATTAATTTTTGATTCTGTTGATATATAAAAACTCAACAATAGGTAAGCTAACAAAGCCTAATTTAAAGTAGGTGTTGAAAAATATTTGATGAGTAAAAGCTTTACATGTTTTCTAGTGTTTTGTTCAAAATAAAAGGGAAAAGGAAAGAAAAATTTATTATGTGTCAAGAAAAAAAAGAAGGTAGGTAACAGTAATAAGAAATAAATGGGAAGTATCAGTTAGACTACAAGCAGCACCCAATAAGGAGTCACAAATTAAATTTTAAGCAATTTTGGCAGTTGCTCCAAATTTTTTTAAAAAACATTTTTATAAACCAGTGCCCAGTATACACTGACTAGATTTAGAGAAATGTGATTCTCAGCTTTGTTCAAAGATGGTCAAATTCTTGATTATATTCCTTGTTTATTGTCAAAGTTTCAGACTTTCTGGAAGAGATCTTATTCTGTGGCAATCAAAAGAAAGTTACCTAATATATTACTTTTACAGGAACTCATATTGCTATTTCAATTTGCTTTAACAACCAATTATGAAATTTACTTCCTTGGTCATGACAGTGCTCTTCATGAACTCACATTCCTCATGCTTCAGATAATCGTCCTATCTGTTGCTGATCACAATGAAAGAGAATAGCTGGATGTGGCCTGTGTACTTACTTGCAATCATCACACATAAATTGCCTTTAGACTTTGGTTCTTCAGGTCAAATACCATTATTTCTTTTTCTCAGAGGTCTGATTTTTCATAATCATCCTATGGTAGTTTGAACTTTTCCAGTTTTCCACATCTTTTTTAGATGAATGTCCAGAACAGCTCAGAAGTTGGAGGGCTCAACAGCTAACAGAAGTTTGGAGGGTTCAATGATATTTTCTTCTGAGCTAATTAACTGCTGAATAAGCACTCTGGTATAAAAATTAACGTTATTTCTATTTTAAATGAAGTCTTACGGTGCGATGTTGAGTTCCTGCCTGTACCCAAATGTTGGGCCCCACATTATCTACTGCAAAATGGTGTAGTAACTGGCAAACTGGAAATTTTTTTAAAGATGGATGAATATGATATTGTGGAACAACAAACGGATATTGATCTTATTATCAAGGAAAAGCTCAGATGATGGAATCCAAAGAGAGATCTAAAAAGTACGAATGATTTTTCTCTCTAAGGATAACTTCAAATTATATGTGGCAACTTGTCCACAAGGCTTTCTTGATCCTACTGGTTCTTCTTGGATTTTTCAATTCTTCTGACATATTATATTGCTTTAGATTTTAGCTCATGAATACTTATATTCTTCTTTCACAGTTCCCTAATAGGAAGTGGTTAAATGAAGATAAGTATCTGTTCTCATTTTTCTCAAATATAACATGAACTTTCACATATGCATATTTCTAAATGTTTCCTCTTTCCAAATTCTTCAAAGCATAGCTCAAGCACTAGTTTCCTGTCACTTTCTTTCTTGTTCCCATCATCTATCTAACAAAGATAAAGTTAGTTTCTCCTTCATTTGCCTTCCTATAACAACTTATACATATTTATTATCCTAATAACACACCTAATTTTACACCTAATTTTACATCTTTCTTTTCAACAATATGCTGTCATCCAAGACAACTTCATGTTTTATACTTCTGTATAAATATATTATTTGGGAAACAGATATTTGTGACTTGAAATATTTGAAAATATTCTATCAAATATTATATCTCAACCACTAAACTACAAGCTTCTCAAGTTTAGAATATTAAACATGTTTCCCAATAGTATCCTATAAATACCTACTGAACAGATGGGTATATACTAAGATGGTGCTATGACAGCATCATACAGGGGACTAAATAAGGTGACACACCCACAGAAGAGTCCACACTTACTGGCCCATGGCACGTGAGGAGGCCCTCTTCCATCTTCTCACACTGGGAGTCACACTCCACGCAGACAGAGCCATTCTCGAACTCCCGAAGTTCACTGTGAAAATACAGCTGCGTGAGGTAGTGAAAGCAAACAAGCTGTCAACTTAACAAATGAAGGAACATCTGCTGAAAGTCCTACTGGCAGAGTAAATTCTTGAGTTTGTTTCTCTATGCACCAGGAGCATCAGAAACATTTTCCTGTACATTAAGGAGTAAGTTTTCCATTAGGAGAAAAGATAAATGGCAGCCAGATGGCTCTCCTTGCCCTCCACTGAGATGGATGACAGACTCATTCTGGAAACCTCTCTCCTGTGAGATATTCTGCCCCTCTTTGAAAACAAAACCAAAAACAAAAACGTAAGTGTGACTTTTCTGATGATACAGCAGAATCATTTTACCTTTTGAATAAGGCTGTGTCTGTTTGTCTCCGTGTAAGATTTTAATGTTTGCTAAAGCTTTAATTTCTAAACTCTGAAACTACAATTGTATTTTTCTTATTGCTAAGCTACACGAATGTTCCCTATCCTTGTCCTTCAAATCCCAAGTCTCTTCAATTTATTTTTGTTGGAACTTCAATACACACTTTGATTTCTTTTCTTCTTTTAAAATATCTGCCTCAGAGAATTAGAGAACATATCTTTTTATGGTAGATTTTATTTTCTTATATATATTGATCTAGTATCATAACATTTCTTTAGTCTAAATTCTTTCTGAAGTAATTCTATATGGTATAAAACTAAAAAAAACCCTGATGGCTACATCCTAAAACTGTACAATTAAAATCTCCTGGCATGATGGTCAGTACTTCCCATACCCTTACATTTTTCTGTGTGTGTATTACAATGTTATCAGCACCAAAAATTTTTAGTCAAAGTCTGCTATAATTTTTCTTTCAATAACTGGATATAAATCGTCTACCTTATATTTAAACCACTTCATTTCCATTAATATACAAGAAGATGGGGTACTGTGTAAAGACTATATAAAATATCATATAGGAATCATTAACAAAATTTGACTAGGTGTTTATAATTTTAATTAATTTATTAATGTTTTTCTTTATATTCTGCACTACCTTTCCAAACCAATAACATTACAAATACAGCAATTATGGATTAATTATGTGATAAAATCAAATATACTTGCCCTAGAGTGAAGAGTTGGTTTTTTTTTTCATTTGAAGATGAAAAGCTTTAATTAGGATAGAAGACCAAAAGTTAAACTATGTTTTCTATTGGTTAAATTGAGGCTATACTTATTCCAAGGCAAAATAATTAAGTTTAGCCTTCCAAATGAATAGCATAAATGTGAAAGCCACATATTTAGTTGCATGACTTTTGCATTTTTAATGTGAGCCATTAGCTGTCATAGATAAAACCTCTTATGAATTTTTTAAAGTTTAAAATCTTAATTAGAAGAACAGACTTTCCTTTATATGCCACATTGACACGAGTGATATAAAGTTATCTATGGCATGCCTTCGGAATATAACTTTCACAAAGACCTGGTATGAGAGGGTAGTGAAATTGTAGAGAATCAAGAACAATGACTTTAATCAAATTTTATGACAGCAGTCTGTGATCTTCAGCTATTTACTGGTTTTTGTTTGTAGTTTCTTGGGCCATGAAAGAGTTATACTACTAAAAGAAGGCCATAATATTTTTGGTCCTAAAATATTGCTTAGGTTTTTCTTACTCTTTTTTCAAAACCCACTTCTCCATCCATGCAGTTGAGGAGTAAATGCCTGACATGAAAATACAGACACCACTTGTTGTCATCCACAGATTTCCGAGTATCTAGCTTCTGGCTCTCTTTCTTCCTGCTTTCATAAAAGTTCCTTTTTGCTGCCCTTCTTAAATCTTCTGCCCTTTATTCTCACTGTCTCCATCATTGCTCTTTCTTCTCTGTCTGCTAGTGACACTACTCTGAATTTGTCACAGTTCTCCTTTCATTGAAATCTGATCTAACAAATGACATTCTTCTGAGTATCATATTTGTATACTGTTTTGTTTCTTTTAATTTTTTTAATGCTGTAGTGCACAAGTTAGATTGCCCAATTCTATAACTAAGAGTGAATACTGTGGCATCTAGTCCTCCCAAAATTTAAATTCTAGCAACAACACTTATAAACACTCAATAAAAAGAGAAAATAATGTTGCATTGAGAGGTTGTGACTCTTAAATATCAAAATGCCTATAAAGATTTTAGACTAGGGGCCAGGGATTTAGATCAGTAGTGCTGTGCCTGCCTTGCAAGCTCAAGGTCCTGAGTTCCATCTCCAGTATGGAAAAAAGAAAAAAAGATTTTAGACTGTTAAATGCTCTTTGATGTTTCTGTGTTGATCTTAACATTTCAGAAGAGTTGCCAGGTATAAAAAGTTTTAAAGTTTCATTGCAATTATCTTTCTCTTCATTTTGATTGATTATGCATCCAAGTTAAGACTTTCTAAAGTACAGTGACTTATATGATCTGGATTTGAATTATAATCGGCCAGAAATTGATTAAATTTTTCTCCTTCAAAAAGTCCTATTTTGGGGATTTTTTCTTTTCTAGTTTCCAGATAGAAAGATAGATGGATAAGATAGACTCTCTTAAATTTGTTAAATGTGTTTTTGTATTTGACTACTTTTAGCAGTTTTCAAGATGACTATTTTACTTAAATATTTAATCAGCTGCAATTCATAGAGAAAATGGAAATAATGATAAAATTCATGGCAGGAACTTTAACAAGCACTTTACCGCATTTTCTCATTTGATAATCACAACTATCCTATGAATTTGTCACCCTTACTATCCCTGCTTTTTATATAGGAAACTGACTTTAGTTGGTCAAGTGGCATCAGCATGTACTTCCTGCTGCTCAGGAAACTGAGGGAAGAGGATCAGTTGAGCCAAAGTGTTCAAGGCCAGCTAGGGTCAAATAGCCAAATCTCATCTCAAGAACAAAAGAAAGGGAAAAAAAAGAAGAAAAGAAACGAAAGCCAAGTTTAGAATGATTAGAGTTTTGTTAAAGTTTGGACATAAACAACGAAGTTAGGGTCACTCTTCTTCAAAGTTCACCTTAACCAACCAGTTTTGAAAGGAGCTAGCATGTAGCACAAGATGAGAGGCGAGAATTCATCACTAGGCAGGCAAGAAGTGAATCCAATATTTACAAGATATTTACATTTATTATCTTTCAAGGCAGCCCTATGGTTATGGTTTTTTTGGGCACCATTACTACTCTACTGTTCACATTAAACATTTCAAAACTTAACATATTCGATTAAATGATGTAACATGGAAAGAATGTCCAATATCAAAATATAGTATGGTAATCACTGTTTATTTAGGAAACCTGTCTTTTTCTTTTGGTTTGCTTTTATTGTTTTGTAGAAATGTGACAGAGAATAGTATATACATCCACATATTTATAAGTTCCATATTTCTGACAACACTGACACTGAAATATTTTAGAAAAAAATGACATTCTGAAAAATTAAGAGAAGAAAATCAGATGTCCTGAGTTCTAGTGCTGGCTTGATTTTTTAGTGATGTGATTTTAACCAACATTTAATTACACTATGTTTATAAGATGTTGATGTTAGATAAAATGATTACTGAAATCTATTCCTTCTTTAGAACTACAGATGAACTTTAAATTCTTTAATTTTATTAGTACTTCATAGTTCATGAAATTGACAGTCATTTGGGGGGTGCTTACATGTACTTACTACAGCTGTTTTTATCCTCTTCATCTTCCCTCCTCCAGCCATCTCTCTTCCTCCAGTTCTCCATCCCATTTTTCATTCTTGCTGATATCATTAATCATAGCTCATGCTATGGCATGCCATGTTTACATTTAGTGAGGTTATTAGGTTCCTGTACATGGCATATCTTTAGTCTACTTATTTCTCCTTCTTCTCCTCCTCACCCCTTGCCCTTGTTCCCTTGGACCACTTCCCCTTTGCAACAGATCCATCTCCTTGTCATCTTCTATCCATCCTTTATTATTTTCTTCATTTGTCTTTTTTTTTTTCCAGTACTGGGGATCAAACTCAAGACCTTGTGCTTGCAAAGCAGGCGTGCTGCCACTGAGCTAAATCCCTGTTCCCTTTGTGTGTAGTTTGCCTCACTCAAATGAGAGATAACATAGGGTATTTAAGATTATCTGAGGTTTGGGATTTAGCTCAGTGGTTCCACCGCTTTCCTCAGAAGCTCAAGGACTTGAGTTCGATCCCCAGTACCAAAAAAACAAAAACAAAAACAAAACTGTCTCTCTGGTTTATTTCATTCAACATTATATTTTCCAAGTGGATCCATTTCCCCACAGATGTCTCAAATTTGACATTCTTTATAGGTGCATAATATTCAATTATATATAGATACTACATTTTCTTCATCCAATTGTCTGTTGATGAGTATACAGGCTGCTTCCAGGATTTAGCTACTATGAATTGTGTTGCTATGAACATTGGTATGCCTGTATCACCATAGTATGATGACTTAAGTTCTCTGTGGAAGATACCTAGCAGGGGGATAGCTTGGTCATTTGGAATTTCTAATTTAAATTCTTTGAGAGTTCTCCATACTGATTTCTGTAATGGTTGCACTAGTTTACAATCCCACCAACAGTGAAGGAGGAATCCTTTTTGAACACAGCCTTGCTAGCATTTGTTATTGTTTGATTTTTTTAATGATTGCCACTCTTTCTGGAGTAAGATGAAATCTCAGCTTTATTTTTATCATCTTTGTTTTAATTTGCATTTATCTAATGGCCAGAGATGTTGAATATTTTTTTGTATATTTATTGATCATTTGTATTTCTTCCTCTGTGAAGTATCTGTTCTTTTCTTTACTAAACTTTTAATATAACACTTACTTAATGGAACCAAAATCATTTATGATTTATTTTAATGACATCAATTGCTGCACATACAAACATAATTAACCTGAGGTATTTTATATACAGAAAACATCCTTTCATTATGTGAACAAGCATGAAAACAATTCAATGAGACAAGAGGCGTGTATTTTCTATCATTGTTATATATACAAGCTAATTATACCATATAAAATTACAAGCTGAAATATTCCTGGAAAATTACTTAAAACTATCTTTATATTTAGCCTTTAAATTTAATTTTTTCCCTTAAATTTCTTGAAGGGAATTCATTTTGGTCATCTTTTAAAGAAAATATATACCAATAACATTACTATAATTTACTATAAATTGTTATAAATAGATTACTATAAACTGGAAGAAATGGATTTTTATCCTCCTAATATAAAATACAAAACTACAATGCTATTGGGGATTATGGAAATAGATGTCAAAATGAGACAATTATGGAGGCACAAGAAGAAATAAAATGAAAAGCTCTAAAACTATATTTTCCAAAACTGTTCAAAATGCTTTCAGTTTATCAATATGAGAAAACTTGACTTGGGGAAACCCCTAAAAATGCATTACCACACTAAAAAAAGGCAACTGTGATCCATAAAGTAGCTGTAGGAGTATATGAAATGCCATGCAGTAAGGTGCATACTAGGTTTTATTACTGGCAATATGATTATTGCAGTACCAGAGGGAATTTAAAACACTTGACTTAAAATATTGCTCAAGTGATCTAGAAAGTGGTAGAACACTTTAAAAAACCTCTTCAAATAGAAACTACAGACATAGTTTTCCTATAGGGCTAAACAGTTGTCAAAGACAGAAACATGGACTTTTCCTATACACAACCTGAGTGGAAAGAAGAAAAAGTTAATGCTTTAACTATTGATGAAAAGTATAAGGAAAGTGTGAGAAGAAAAAACCCACCAGATTACTATGACCTCTGGAAGGAAAGATTACTTAAAACAATCTTTCACATAAGGAAAATTGAATTACATATTTTAAAATTTTGATAAAGTATAAATTGCTATAATTTTTCAAGAATTATCTAGGCAAACATTTTTTAAATGTATAAATGGTCTTTATATATCAACTCATTCAATTTGTATATGGACTAATTTAAAACCAATTATTTCCCCTGAAAACAATTCTATATGTTGTATCTTTATGCAATAAGAGCTCTCCTGAAATACTTCGACCTGCATATGCATTCTGAAATTTTGCTCATTTCTTTTTTTACCATTTTAAAATCTGAGCTCATTAATGCTTCACAGCTCATGAGGCAATGGTGGCCTTATGTGATGCCTTACCCATCATAGAGGTTACAAGACTCTATGCAGATCCGTCCTCTGCTGAACCGGCGGCAGGACAGGCACTGGTCTGGCCCAGGTCCCCAACAGCCATTGCTAGAACACAGCTGGTTACACACCATTCCTTCTGCAGCTGCAAAACACACCAAAATCAGGGGAAATGAAACAGATTCAGCAAAACCTACACTCTTTTTAAAGGATGCTAAATACCTTTAAATAAATTTGTTTGAAAGAGATCTGTACCAAACACTTTTGGTTGTCTCTCCAGTCAACACATCCCAACCACCTCCAACATCCTCCATATTGCAGAGCTATAGTTACTAAGCACGTACATAATGTTTCATTTTTCATAACACTGAACAAAATCCAATTGTCTACATGAAAACTACAGGGAGGAGAGGTGACTGAATTAAACTTCCAAGATAAGAACCAATCCATGGCTTTCCCAAGCCAACATTTTGTTCCACTAATAAAAATACCAAAGACTTTGATTCAATTCCATCTGAGAGCTTTATAAGGAAATAGAAGAAATAATGCTATCATTAAACAAATAAAAATAATAAAGGAAGATTAAAAATGAAGAAAATATATAGAAGGTAAGAAGAAGACAGAGGACTAGAAGTACAATGTAAGATTTTGCAAGGCTCTGCTGCAGACTGTCTACCTCGGTATTAGTCAGGTTGGCAATGTTAGGAAGAGTACTGAAAGAATAGTCAACCAGTTGCAGTGGTTAGTTACTAAGAAGTACAGTACAGAGATTAAAGTAGTAACAATGGCCTTCAGTCTTATTTCTGTTTTATTTTGACGTGAAAATAGCTAATTTGGGGAACATCTTTTACAATTGCCACTTAGGTTCACTATTTCTCCTCAATGATATTTATTCAGTATATTATTATTTATATTATATCACATAATTTTATTAAAGGGATGTGGATGTAGATGTTGAATAGCAAGTGTCAACAAAGTCTTCAAATTTTATTCCAGTATCTGCTGCTATTGTTCAAACCTTCTGAAATACAATTGCATGCACGTGGTTTTCATTAAATCTTAAGAATTCTCAAAAAGTTAAAAACATTTAAAATCTTACTTGTCTCCTCCTTTGCTACTAGTTTTATTTTAGAGAATGTTGGATTTTATGGCAAGGGCATTTGCAAGCTGGACTGGGACAGCACTGAGCATATTAGTGTAACGTAATCAGACAACAGCCTCAAAACCTGTGGAAGTTCATTTATCTAACACACACTAGAGAGTCACCTGCCTGCATCTGGGATGCGGACTAGTTTTAAAACAGTTGAGAATACTTTCAATACTATACCTGATTATATAATTTTCTTTATCTATCTATCTGATTAGAAAATCTTTCTCCTAATCAGTAGCCTTGACTTTCATCCTTTTAATAGGAAATGTTGCAGAGAAAATGTTTTAATTTTGATGAAATCAAATGTATTAATTTTCCCTTTATGAACTGTACTTTTGATGTCATGTCTAAGTTTTCTTCACCTACCCTTTGCTCCCAAATAATCTCAATTAAATTTATTTATTTTCATTGTGTTGAGGTACTTAGATACTCATGCATGGTAGACAAGCACTCTATCACTGAGATATACCCCAGTACCTTCTAATTTTTAAAATAACAATTTTATAGCTTTAAACTTTACATTTAAACTTGTGCCTGTTTTTGTCAAAGTTTGTATAAAGTGTCAAAATTATATTAAGGTACAATTTTGAACTATGGATATTTACTTGCTCCAGTGTCTTTTATTTTATTTTATTTTTTTAAGACAGATGTCTCGCTATGCCGTCCAGGCTGGCCTTGAATTTACTCTATAGCACAGTCTGGCCTGGAACTCACAGTGATCTTCCTGCCTCAGCCTCCTGAGTGCTTAGTATCACAAGCATGCACCACCACACCTGGCTCAAGCACCATTTGCTCTGAAAGCTATTTTTCTTCCATTGAATTGTTTCGACACTTTTATCAAAAATCAGCTTGGCATATTTATCCATTGTGGATTATCATATTGGGACTGTCAGTTGGGCATATATATCAATTGAGGGTTATTTCAGAATTCTCTATTCTATTTTATTGATTGATGTGTTTATTTCCGCACCAGTATCGCATGCTTTTACTATAGATATGTAGTGAGTCTTAAAATTATGTTAAGTGAATGTTCTCATTTAATTTTTCTCTTTTTTTCTAAATTTATTTCAGCCAGCTAGCTTGTTTACCATTAAATATAAATTTTATAAAAATCTTGCCTATATCTCAAAAACTTTGCTGTGATTCTGATTCTTATCACACTAAACATGCATATCAACTTGGAGAGAATTTTTATGATTTCAATCTTCTGATTCATGAAGATAGTATGCTTCTACATACAAGGTGTGATCCCAAAACACAATGAATGTTTAAATTCAAACAATCTGTTACAGTGCAATATATATATAATGTAATATATATAATGTATTTATATATTATTATAATAGAAGTATATTATTATATGTATTTAATATATAATTTATTACAGTATAATATATAATATATTATTATATATTTAATATATAATATATAGAGATATATTCCACTTCACTTTGAGTACACCAACCCTATTTTTCTTGCCACTGAAACAGTTCTGGAAGTCCTCTTTCATGAGTGTCTTTAGTCGCACTGTTGGGACTACCTTGATGTCCTGAATCAATTAGGAACATTACATTTCATGGTCATTTTGACTTTGGGGAAGAGCCAGAAGTTGCCATTAATAAGATCCAGTTAATAAGGTGGATGAGGACTGTAATGTCTCTACAAACTGCCTTTCTGCCGGCTGAGGCTGGCAACAGCACTCACCATATTTTTCATCTTATCTTGTAAAGACATTCATGGAAGGGGACTTCTAGAGCTGCCTCAGAAAGCAAGATCATACTGAATTCACTTGTTTATTTTCAGGGTTTTTTTAATAAACTCAATGGAAATATTATCAGACAATCATGTCCTCTGGGAACAGGGGTAGTTTATTTCTTCTTTTTATATATATATATATATATATATATATGTCTTTTTTTCCTTACTATGATGTTTAGAACTTCCAATACTATGTTGAATGCACAGTGAGAGATGACTTTCTTTCTTTCCCAGTCTGTTTATCTTCCATGACTAAGTACACTGGTACATATAAGACTTTTGTAGAAGACTTCTACTAAGTTGAGAAATTTCCTCTCTATTCTTGTTTTTCTAAAATTTAAAAAATATTAATGAGGGTTAAATTTTTCAAATTATTTTCTGTATCAAATGATTTGATCATGTGATATTTCTTCCTCAGATTTTCAATGTGGTATAGTATATCATTTATTTTTAAGTAATGTACCAGCATTTTACCTTTGATATAAAACCATCTGTCTGGTTAGTTTTTTTTAAATATTGATGAATGCTATTTGCTGCTTCTTCATTAAGAAATTTGAATTTAAGGAAAAAAAGTTTTGCTTCTGTATATATCTTTGAGACATAGATATGTCTTTAGTCCTCTTTTACCCTTTTCCTCCTCTTTTTGATTCTTCCTTTTTTCCCTTGGTATTCTCTGCAATTCCTTGGTATATTTTGCTCTTGGTACTCTTTGGTATTCTTTTGCTCTTTTCTTGGTATTCTTTCCTTGGTATTTTCTTTCCTTGAAATTTTTGCTTGCTATTCTTGGTATTCTTTATAATGTACATTGTAATCTTCCCAATCATCATGCAAACTAGGAATGATCATCAGTTTTACAAGTGGGCAGAAACACTGTAGAGTGGTTTTAAATTACTCTTGCCTACTCCTTTACCACCACCAGTAGGGGTAAAAGTCCTGATCCACACCCCCTGCCACCCCCTGCTTGAACACTATTGTCATGATGTTGCTGAAGTCTGCACTTTCTGCTCCTTTGCTAGCCTGGTTGAAAGTGAGGCTCTAGATTGTGTGTGTGTGTGTGTGTGTGTGTGTGTGTGTGTGTGTTTGTGTGTGTGTGCTGTTTGGCCAAAATACAGAGAGAAAACTTTGTCTTGATAGGCTGTCCCTTGCCTCATTCTTTGGATAGTGAGGACAGGTTTCATTGGTGGATTTCTGATCTGCATTTGTGGTTGGTTTGACTTGTCAGTTTCTTCACCTCCAAAGCTGAGATCTATGAAGATGAAAACACAAGAAACTCACCTATGCCCTGCCTTAGGTTCCGCATTCCCAAACCACAATTCCCAAGGTAGAGTGTCTTTCTCTACCTTTCATTGGCTTATGTTTGTTCTATGAGTTATATCCAGGGTTTTATTATATACTAAAAAATTCAGTGATATTCATGAGTAAATAATTTTTAAATAATATGAAGTTAAAAGACCTATCTTATAGGCATTCAGCCATTTAAGGTTATTTATCAAGTTTTATGTTCTGACTTAAGTATATTTATATATAATGTGCATGTAAAATTTTATGAGGAATAAACATTATCATCCGAAGAAATCCCCCAGAAGAAAACCCATATATTATGAGGGTGACCTGTAAAGACAAGCAGAGTGTAGTGTCCTTAATCTGGTTCTCTGTGTTCATTATTTGTGTGTTTTATAGAAAATAGAACCAATGATCCAGACTTTTTGTTGACCAAATTCTGTCTGAGGCTTTCAATTACATTCTTCATTTCTTTCTTGAGGAAATTGACAAACTCAGCAGAATCCTCATCGCTCCCTATTTTAGGGTATCTCATCAAGTTTTTGGTTCACTTATTTTACCATTTCGCATCTCTTTTTGTCAGGTTTGATTATTCTCTCACTCTTGTCTCTGTCCCTCCCTCTCCCAAGGTAAATGAACTTTACAGAAAGTGGAAGGAGAGAATGGCTTGGATCTTCTGTTACATATTTTGACACTGGCTGGGGAGAAAGGTCTTACGTTCACGAATATCCTACTTCCTTTTCTGCTGCTTTGAGTGTTTACATATGTATGTAACATCAGGGAAGTTCTGAATGAAGAAACACTATCCACCGATGGAAAGCAGTAATAAACAGGAGACCATAATAGCTACTGTCTTCTTGTTCTTTCTAAACCACGAGATGAAGGAAATGGCTGGCTGATCATTTTATCTAAAGTGAAAACAAAGAAAGGGTCTTCACACAGCATAGAAACAAGAG